AGCAAATAATTGTATATTTTTAAAACATTATATATATATACATATATATATATATATATATATATAAATTCTAAAATTACTAAATTTTTAATGGGAATAATAAAAGAGTTAATCACCTATACACTATCGGTGTAAAAAAAATTTATACTGGCAGTCAATCAGAGTCGTTAGTAGTGGCTTTTCATCTGCTCATTTAATTAAATTAAAATAAAAAAGGCACTATTAACGGCTCTGATTGACTGCCGATGTTTATACCGACAGTGTATAGGTGATTAACTCATACTAAAATCGCACAATTATAATAGTTGAGGGACTAAAATTGTTCAATTAAAAATTAAGGGACTAAAATCACACAATTACAATCTTTTAAGGACTAAAATTACTCAATTAAAACCTTGAGGATCAAAATTGCATAATTGCAATACTAGAGGGATCAAAAGCACAATTAAGCCTATAAAATGTAATATCTCATTTAAATTAAAACAATGTACAAAGTAAACTAGCTAGTAATAAAGAGAGTTAACAATAAAACTAAAATTAACATTAATTATCATTAATTAATGATAATGAACAATTATTGTATGAATGTACCAATGTTATCAAATAATAATGAAACTAAAGTAAACCAACCAATGCACCTGAAAAAGCTAAAACAATATACAAAAAAATAAATCAATTCTCAAATGATTCAAGACAAATCGATTCCTATATTTTACAAATATCTTCCAACTCTTCATTGACAAATCGAATTGGATTTTTGAATACCTACAATTAATTCAATTTAAAGATAAGTTAAACATTAGTCAATCATTAAATAATTAAATAATTATTTAAAGTGATTAAATTGATTTAAAAATGTATTATCTTCCTCCACGAGCCCCTAATATTACCAGTAATAATGATAAACATATGTTTCATCACGTGATAGTTACACTTATGATTACTCGGTTGATGTGGACACTACAATTTAGTGAATATAAAACATAATTAAAATATAGTTAGAATATATTTTAATTTAACTATAAGTATTATTAAGTTGACAATTGATTGATTCACAAAAAAAGGTTGATTGTTGACTGATTCATCGGGAAAAAAAAGGTTGATAGTTGACTTACTTTCAACACAATATATATTGAAGCTTCTTTTAAGCTACCAAAGGAAGTTCCCATAGATCAAGGTTGCATCCAAAGACTTACGAAAATGAATGATAAATCGAAAATAGTTAAAAGAATGAAATTATAAAATAAAAAAAACCATAATGATTGAAAGTAGATACTTATGAATCAATGAGGAGTCTAACAAATAACTTGGCAATTTTCTCATGTAATGAACACAAGAAAACTACAAGAAACTACCTCATAATTATAACGAGGAGTTGTCATGTGCTACATTTTGTAATAATGTTATAAACATGTAAGTTATTGTAAACTTATTTAAAATATAATGCAAGTACTTACTCATTCAAATAAGGTACTTAGTAAAACACCTTTCCTCCTAGCCTAAACTAGTTTATCAAATATTCCTTAACCTTAATGTCTTTATTCCCAACACACTAGGTGACAATTGGGTCAATAAAATCATAATAATAAGCATTTTGCATCTTCATAAAAATGTGATGAAGAGACCTTAAACCAACAAACCAAACCTAGGAAATATTTTCAACCTCATTCACAAATTTTTACGAACACTTGGTATGCATACACAAAAAACTCAAACAAGGTAACAATTTAATGAACAATCAATCTCAATAACCAAAATAATCATTCAACAACACCATAGCATGAATCAAACATCAAATGCACGAAAAAGAGAAAAGACGAGAATGAACCCAAGAGCACATCACTTGAATGGAGGAAGTGGCCTAAACGTCTCACCTGGACAAAGGCAATGGTTGAACCTAGGAGCATGTCACCTAAATAGAGGTAGTCAAGATGGAGGGAACTTGCTTGAACAAAGATGATGATGAATAGTAGAGAGCGCGAACTAAATCCATGCTCTTAATGTCTTAATAAAAACACATTCTATGGCGTGTCTTGATTTACCTACCATAGAATATCCCTTTTTATGTGGGGTAAGTTAACACCCATCATAAAAATGTTGGAGTCAAAGCCTGACCAACAAATTCTATGACAAGTATTCACTTACTCGTCATAGAAAAAATATTTTATGACGGGTAAGCCAACACCTATCATAAAAAAATTTGTCATAATTACAAGTATGTCACTACATCACTTTCTATGTTGTGTGGATAAGTATTCCACACATGTTATAAGTAGAAACCATAGACAAATGTCTATAAATACGAAAGGCATTAGTAGGGGGCTTTTTGTTGTAGTAAGCCATAAGAGCATTTTAATATTTTCTAGTATGTTATTCTTCCAAAGCCAGGACCAGGAACCTCCATGAGTATACTTGCAAAAACATCACCATCAATAAGTCACCAATATGCAGATTTAGTTGAGTATCTTCCATCTGTAGTGGGAGCCCAAATGAAATCATCCTTTATGTCAACTTCAACAAACATGGTCTACATAATATACTTGGCTTCATCATGGATATTAGTTGTTAACCTAGCTAGTTTCCAATAATCCTCATTATAGACATCATTTACTTGAAGTTGGGTGTTTATGATGTGAACATAATCATCCTTGTTGCAAAGGTAACCAAAATCCATCCACTTATCATACTAAAGGGACACTTCACCTTTACCTATGCAGATAATAAAACCATCTTTCAAGATTTCAACAACTTTAATAATAGAAGCCCAAGCAAAGGAAGAACCAACAATCAAGATAACTTGAAGAATATACTTGTGTTTCAAGTATTTATCTTCAAGCATTTGAAGCCACTCACATACGATGTTTATCATGAATTAAACTCCAAACATGCTTCCCTAAAAGAGAGATGTTTATGTTCTTTGCAAATCGCACCCCTAGGCCTCCATGAAGTTTAGGTTGAGTGACTGCTCCCCAGTTTACCCAATGAGAAGTTGATTTGCCCGATGAATTTGCTAACAATATTATCAATGCTAGCATATATACCTTTAAGAAACCAACAATTTTGCATAACATAGTCGGGAATTGTAGTTAACACCAGTTTTGCTAAAGTTATATGCCTTGCCCTATTTAGAAGATTGATTTTCCAACCAGCCAATCTCCCTTGAATCCTTTATAGAAGGAAACCAAAATTAGTATTTTTAATTCTTCTTATTAGGATAGGAAACACCGAGTATTTTATCAATTCTTTGAGTATGGTTAAAACCAAAATAATTCTTAGAAGGATTTTTTTTCGTCTTAGCCACATTCTTGGAAGCCAAGAATATAGATTTGTCAACATTGATTTTAAAATTAGTTGCTAGACAAAAGGTATTAAGAAATTGTTTGATTAATTTAGCTTGCTTATAAGTATCCTTTATAAACAATAAACATTTGTTAACAAAAAAAAGGTGGGAAACTTTAGGACTATTTCTAGATATTAAAGTAGGGTGCTACTTATGAAGAGAAACTTTATGATGAATCAATAAACCAATTTCTCCATACACAAAATGGTACGATGGCATGGGATCTCCCTATCTCAAACCTCTAGTAGGAGCAAAGACATTATACCGTTATTCCACTTCAAAGAAAAAGAGAAGTCACTAGTATAACTCAAAATTAAATCAATAGTTTTTTGGGGAAAGGCAAACTTTGCAAGAGTAAACTCAAGGAAATCCCAATCGATTTTGTCATAGGCCTTTTCAAAGTCAATTTTGAGCATAAGATAACTTGTATTTCCCTTTTTCTTATGCAAATGATGAGTTATCTCTTGGGTTATGACAACTTTGTTATTAGTTCCTCTTTGGGAATAAAATTACTCTATAAAGGCCCTATGAATTTATCTAAGTGTGGTCGGATATGATTAAACAACACTTTATATATAATTTTCAAAGGACACATTACAAAGACTAATGAGTCTAAAGTCTTTCATAAAAAAAAGGCCGATCAATTTTAGGAATGGGAACAATAAGAACTTCAACTATACTTGGGGGAATGTGACTTGTAGAAAAAACTATAGCCACCATCTCCCAAATATTTGTAGAAATAATGACATAATAGTTCTTAAAGAAAATGGATTGAAACTCATCAAGACCGGACACCTTATAAGAATTCATAGCAAAGATAGCTTGTTTTACCTCCAAAAAAGAAATTGAGCAAATCAACTCCTCATGCAAACCATCCCTCATATGTAGGATATTATCTAACTTAAGGCTTTGAGGTTGGCAAGTATCATTGCTCCGAAACAACTTTTTAAAGAAATCATTAGCTTCCTTCTTCAACAACTCCTCATTGTTACACCAAATTCCTCCAATAACAACGCCCGTAATCTTGTTTTTCCTTCTTCTAATTATGGTTTGATTGTGAAAAGATTTAGTATTTTTATTTTCATACTTAACCCAATCGTCCATTGACTTTTGGAACCACAACATTTCTTTTTGGACAAATACTTCATTATATTGGTGTTGAAACTTCTTCTCAAACTGAGTTGCCTCTTGATTACAAGCCTCGTCCAAAGCTCCATGAATAACTTTAAGTATAGCATCCAAGTGCCTCTTCCTTTGAAAAATATTACCAAAAACCTTTTTATTGAATTCCACGGATTTGGCCTTTTGTTATTTATAGTCATTACCTTCTTACAACTCATAAGAAGGGGCTTGTGGTCAGAATTGTGAGTTGGAAGGATTTCTACCAGAGAATGAGGAAAAGTCATTTGCTAATGAAGGTAAGCATCTATCAAGTTTCTAATATGGCCTTTATTCTAAATATTTTTGTGCTAGGTGTACAAACCTCTTTTCATTTTAATAAACATAACATTATATTTCATAGTATTTAAGGATTTATAATATATTTAATATTCTTCTTCAAATATAATCAATAATTTTATCAGGACTATTTTTTACTTTTACTATATAATATGAATATCTTTTTTTACCATTTTTAATAATTATGTATATTATCGAATTTATATTTAATACTAAAAGGTTGAGACACTTTGTGTCTTTAATAAATTATACACAAATAACATATTATAAGAAGGTTGTATATAATTATTCAAAGAAGATATATATATATATATATATATATATATATATATATATATATTTAAGAGGTATAATAATTCCCTAAAAAGTGAAGACCAAAAGCGATCCTGATATTCTTTTTTTTTTTTTTGAACGGCAAATGTTAATGATTAGTTTGTTAGTTGTTATTGGGGAGATTCGAACCCACACTCTCTTAGTCACTCAAGACTATATCCCTCTCCTCAAACCACTTAGACCACCCTTATCACTCCTCCTGATATTCTCTTTATAATATATCTTTATAATATGTATAGATTAAACATGAACTAAAAGGCTATCTTTAATTTGAAATTATAATAAATAAGTAAAAAACAAATTAAAAAAAATTACAGACTTTAAATGATTCTATTTAAAATTTAAAATATACTATTTGATATACCTGATTTCTTAAATTTATTTTCTAAGAGCATTAATAAAATATAAAATTAGCCGTACCTTATGTGAATTAAAATAGGTGGAAGAAGGAGTTGTTACATAATTGTAGGTTTTGGGTGAGTGCGAGATGGAAGAGGAGACAGGGCAGCGCAAAGTGAAAGCAGGGCAGTTGAAGAAGAGAGCCCTAAAGAACAAAGCTTTGGGCATCAATTTCAACGAGAAAGATCTCAAAGACTACGTCACTGGCTTTCACAAGCGCAAGAAGAAGCGAAGAAAGGAAGCCCAGAAGCAACAGAACGAGGTACTACGCCGCAAACGCAACGAGGAACGCAAAAAGGTACCAGTTCGAATTTAGGGTTTCCTTTCCTTTTCTTAATTTTATCTTCTACATTATTTTTTTTATTTATTATCTATTTTATTGGACTCGTTTGCAGAGAAAATTGGAAAGGGAATTCGTTCATCACGGAGGCGTGCCACCTGGTGAAATTGATGAGTGCCAAGAAGAAGTTCCGGAGCAACATGAATCTATTGCTGGTGCATTTTCTCTACTCTTCGCCTTTGTCAACTGAAATATTCCTCTAAGTAGAATTTTTTGTTTCTTCACCTATTCATTTAGCCATGTGTGTCGCTTCACACTTAGATGCATTCACGTCATGTGCTTCGGCCTGGTTTTTTACTGGGGCAGTGGCACTTGAAAATTTTGACCAAAACCTGTCTGAACCGTCTTATGAATCTGAGGCTATTTAGTTGAATTTTAGTGTATGATGGTTCTGTTTGGATAAAATTTTCAAATTTATAGAAAAATAAGAAGAAAGTAAAATGACTAAAGCTTCGTCCATTAGCTGAAATTAGCCCATATAAGTTAAAATCACTTTTTTTTTTGAAAAGTTAAACCTGAGAACTTTTACAAATTAACTTATTAAATTAACCTATGGGAAAAACTTGGTTCATTTTACCTTGTGTTCTTCTTTATAAGTTCTTATTGAGAAATTTGTCTCAACAAGACCAATGTATGAGTGATTTCCTTTCTGCGTTTGGGTGGTGACTCATTTAGTGATTGGATTTACCTTCTGTTGTTTAAAGAAACGAAGACATACGAAAATGATGATTTGAAAGTCACTGTCGTAACAAGTGAGATCAACCCTGAAGAAGAAAGTTATCCTAGTGAAAGGAAAGTGGCAGCAGTGTCCCCTGATTCTGTTGTGGCTGATAAAAGGCATGCGGTACCTGTAAGTAATAAGAAATCTTTTAAGAAGGTTGCAAAACATAGATCACGGCCAAGGCCAGCAAGTAAGAGAGATAAGAAGAAAAGAAAGACACAGGGCAAGAAGTGATGGTAACTGGGTGCCTTGTATCTTCAGGACATTCCCAGGTCTACAATGAACTATATTTTTGTGGAGGTGGTTATGAAGTTCAGTAACTTAGCTACTGTGAAGGGAGAATTCGTGTTTGCCTATTGCAGGATTTGATCTTGTTTCATAGTTGAAAATATATCTAGTTAGTTACCTGGTTCCTGATGCTCGTGACAGGATTTTCTTCACCAGGGTCATTGCTGTCTTCCCATTTTGGGGATTCAAGAGTTAAAGAACAAAAACCTATTATTTTCTCCTCTTTGTTAGTTAAACTGGTAGCTCTGTTGTGTGTTACACATTTAATTCATTCACATATTTAACTTTCTAGTTTTTCTTTTCTTTTTCTCTTCTTTTTTATTTTGTCTAGAATATTAGTTTCTGGCCTAAAGAGAAGGCTCAGTTATTTAGTTTCGAGGGGCTGATAATGAATCAAGACCTTAATTTTATATAATCCATTACCCTAGGAAAGTTCCTTGGTAAATTTGATGAGTTGGGCAATATATGTACTCTGATAAGCCTAATAATAAGTTGCAGCAGAATGTTTCAAGATCAGACATGTGCCAGTTGGTTTTATTTAAACCTTACGAAAAATTCTCTTTTAGTTTCAGGGACTCTTACTTTTTGGAAGCTATCTATAATAGATTTTACATGAAATGTGAAATTGACAAAGTCTGTTTGGAATCTAAGGTAGAAGCAATTTTGAGAGTTTTTTTTTTTAATTTAATTTAATTTTTTTTAAATAAAGAGTATTTTCTAATAAATAAAAGAACTCTAAAAAATCTTCTAAACTTTTATTCAAACATGTTCATAATCTTTAAACTCATATGATCACATGTTGCAGGTTTTTTTTTGGTAAAGTACTGACAAAAAAAAAAAAAAAAACAAAGCAAAATTACAATCTAACGATCAGACCTCCAGCTATGTCCGCTAACACCTGAGACTCCACCTCAGGTGGAGGGGAAACAATTTCCTCCACCTCTAGACCTCGCATTTGTCCCCGTCTAGCCAATAGATCAGCACACTTATTCCCTTCTCGGAAGGAATGTTCAAACTGAATCGTCCAAGGCTTATGCACCAGCTCCTCAATTGAGTAAAGGATAGCCGCCAATCTGTGAGTACTTTGGATATCATGCGTAACAAGCTCAACCGCTACAGCTGAGTCCGAAACGCATAACACAGACTGCGTGCGTCGGCTCCAAGCAATCCGCAGCCCGTGAAGAATGGCAAGTAATTCCACCTGAAGGGCATCGACAGCCTCAACTGCCCCAAAGAACCCCCATAGCCACCTACCATTGGAGTCTCTTGCAAGACCACCAATGCCTGCTTGACCTGATGCTGGATTGAAGCTGGCGTCAACATGTAGACTAGTTTGTAGCCCCTCAGCAAAGATACAAGAGACCCACTTAAGCCCTGCATCATGTGGTGTGTGTTCATCAGCTACCGCAAAAGCACGTACCATGGTAGTATGCAAAGCATGGACCCGACGTAAGGCCTCCCACACAGAAGAGTCACACCCATTAAAAACCCGTTCATTACGCATCTTCCAGAGAACCCAACAAGCAATGAGTGGAAGGATATGGCACCTCTGAAAGCACAACTTAAGCCACTTTGGCCAAGATCCCGACCACCAACAAATCGCCTCCTCCAAATGTAATAGACGCCACAATCTGACCGCATGTTCACAGCGAAACAACACATGGGCAATACTTTCCACCTCGTTTCTACACCTCAAACAAAGCCCATCAGGAGTTACATGTCGTTGCACCAACAAGGCACCAGTGGGAAGAGCATCATGGCAAACCTGCCATAAGAAAAATCGAATCGACTCCGACAATGGAAGCCTCCAAATCCATTGCCACCCATCGGAAAGGACCACATCCCTATCACACAGCCACTGATACCCTGTCCGAGCTAGGTATTCACCGTTTGTAGAGGCCTCCCAAACAATGCCATCCGACGCGGAGGGATGCAGCCAAATTTGCATGCTAAGGATTCTTGCCTGGAGTTCTGTTGACAGCCAAGAGTGGAGTTGTTCTAAATGCCACCTCCCATCCTGCCACACATCTCGCACACGTAAAGTTAAATCATGTAAATGAACAAAAGGTACCTCGTTGGCAAGTGGCCCTTCATGAAACCAATTCTCAAACCAGAAGCTGGCCTCACCATCACCCAACTGGAATCGAAACCCCGGGCGCAGCTCCTCAAAAGCTCTCCGCAAGGAAGTCAGAACATAAGAACCTGGCCTTTGCAATAAACTAGCAACATTTCTGTCTCTATATTTTGCCATGACCACTCTAACCCATAATTTGTCCGTATGATGAAACAAATCCCAAATCAACTTACCCAACAACGAAATATTTTTATTCCGCGCTATACACACACCCAAACCTCCTTCCTTCCTTGGTCGAGTCAGGGTCTCCCACTTCACTAAATGAAGTTTCCGTGCACCTTCCCTACTCCAAATAAACCTCCTGCTGAGTGCATCCAACTGGTCACACGTCCCAGAAGGTAGCCATTGTGTCTGCATAGTGTATGCCAGGATAGCACTCAGCACAGAATTGACCAAAGCAACCCGACCTACACGAGACAAAAGGCGCCCCTTCCAAGCAGCCAAGCGCCCACTTTAGTCATAACCTCACCAAAATGTCAAGTTGTAACCCTACCACGCAACATCTGAAAACCCAGATACTTGCCCAAATCATTTGTGAAAGTGATATTTGTAATTTGTGTCAAAGAGTTTTTCCTGCTTCGTGGAACTCCTTTAGAAGCCATCATCCGAGACTTGGTTAGATTCACCTTCAGTCCAGATGCATTACAGAACCTCTGCAGACTCTCAGTCACCATTCTAATGTGCGATGGTGTCGCTTTTGAAAACAACAGAACATCATCTGCAAAAAACAAGTGGGATAAAGGGGGGCCATCTGAACCCAGTTTAAGAGGAGCCCAAACCCCAGCAGAAACTTGCTCTTGAATTATATGGCCCAATCTCTCCATACATAAGACAAATAAGTAAGGTGATAAGGGATCACCTTGGCGAAGCCCTCGCTTAGGACTAAAACTCTCTAAACATTCACCATTCCATAACAAAGACAACTTGGCTGACGTAACTCCTGAAAGTATCAAATTAACCAGCCTATTAGGTAGCCCAAAGTCTGCTAATACCTCTTGAAGGAAACGCCAATCCACTCTATCATAGGCCTTCTCGAGATCTAGTTTGAAAACGACATCACCCTTCTTCTTCTTAGATTTGGACAGAGTGTGGATGATTTCCTGAAGAATGATCACATTATCCATAGTGTCCCTTCCTGGAATAAAGCTACTCTAGAAAGGACTGACTATCCTCATAAGAAATGGCCGTAACCGATTAACTAACACCTTAGAGACTAACTTGTATACCACGTTGCACAAGCTAATGGGCGAAAATCTTTGAAAGTACGAGGATGATCCCCTTTAGGAATAAGAACCAATAGAGTTTCAGTAGCATGAGCATCAATTCTCCCATTCTCAAAAGCTGAAGCCACAAATCGCCACACATCATCCCCTATCATGTGCCAGTACTGTTTATAGAAAATTGGTTGGAATCCATCAGGTCCTGGGGCCTTAAAGGATTTCATACCTCGTAGGGCATCAAACACCTCCGCCTTAGAGACTGGAGTCTCCAAGCTAGCCTGTTCCTCCATTGATAAAGATATAGGGCAAGGTGGTAGCACCTGAGGCATAGCCTCCGAAGCACCTAGTAAACTCTTGAAATACGCCAATGCTTCCTGCTTCAACAGATTCCCATCCGTACACCAAGCTCCTGATGGCAAGTGCAAACCTAGTATTCTATTACGCTTTCGTCTCACAACTGTTTGAGTGTGGAAGAATGCAGTATTTTTATTTCCCAATTTTATCCATTTTTCCCTTGACTTCTGATACCAAAGGGTTTCTTCCTGTTGAAGAACCAGCTCATATTGCTTAAATAATTCTTGGTATAGTAGAGCATGACGTCGTGAATCAACCTTCTCTAGGTATCTTTCAAGCCCTCCCAATCGGGCTCCCAAAATTTTCTTACGGAGACTAATGTTCCCAAACACTTCCTTATTAAAGATTAATGAGGCTTCCTGTACGCACTTCAGTGATTCCAAAATATTCCCCGAAGACTGTTTCCAAGCATTCCAGACCACAGCTTCATATCCTTGATGCGAACACCAAGCTGCTTCAAACCGAAAGGGTCTTTTCTGCGCGACCATATGCCCCCCACTGCTACGAAGAATAAGGGGATGATGATCTGAGTGAGCTCGGGAAAGAACCTCCACCACGGCCTCTGGGAAGGCTCTTGTCCAATGCACGTCGCTAAGGGCTCTATCTAGTTGTTTATGTAATGAGGCGAATCCCTGATGCATCCTATGCCAAGTGTACTTTCTTCCCAACAAAGGTATATTCATAAGCCCACAATTATCCATGTACTGGGCAAACATAGATGCACGCGCGACTGAGAAGGACCCCCTCTCTGTTCTGACGGTTAAAAGCCAATTAAAATATAACTAGTTGCAGGTTTTAATGTGTTATTAGTTAAAAGTTTCTAAACTAGTGATCTAACTGAAATTTTGATGAAATCATATGGATGTAATACGACCAAAATTAAAATATATTTGTCTCTAGAATTTGGTTTGCATCATATTCAAGGGCATAATAAGATCTTTTGAAACCCGCTCATTGCAGTAAATGGCTGCTCATTAACGTAAAAAAAAACTATTTCAACTAAAGAAAATTTGTCTTTAATTTTGCAAGAACGTACTCAAGTAACGATTCGTTACTAATCGGGAAGTCTCTTTTTGACCAGGGATAAATCCAAAAAAAAAAAAAAAAAAAAGGTAACGAGGCGTTGATAAAAAGAAACTCTAATTTGCATTTTGGAAAAATAAAATGCATAGCATACACTAACAAATATAAACAGTTAGGAGCTAGGCATATTTCTATTAGTATAACTTTTGTTTAATGAAAATTAAATTATCACTATAATGAAACGTTAATAGTCTTACAAAGAATGGTGTAGTGCATACATTTTGCTATACATAGGGAGTTTAAGAATGGTCTTTGGATAAATTCTCTTTTTTATTTTATTTCTGTAAATGGAATAATTTCATTTTTTTCCCTTTTTGTCCTGTCCTTATAATACGTGAATAATTTATGTTTAGTTCTTACTAATTTTTTCAAAGGACTATCTGAAAATGAATAAAATATTATAGGAGTAAAATGTAAAAAAAAAATATTATAAGGACTAAAATAAAATCACAAGAACTAAAAAAATAATATATATATATATAT